CACTCCTAATGGCACTTTTCGCAGCTTGGCTTCCGCTATCGACCGCCTTACTAGTCTCCGTCACCGAATACCTGCCTCCACCCTCGAAAGCGCAATCCGAGCGCATGCCTGAACTCATCGACAGTTCTCCGGGTGCCGACTACGTTGCTCCAGAGGTGCGCGACGCCATGACCAGTTTCAAGGCCTCCAAGAACGATCCTGTCGTAGCCTACGTCAGCAAGATGATCTCCATACCCTCCAGCGAACTACCACAGAACAAACGAAGGGGTGGTGCGCTCACGGCTGAAGAAGCCAGGGAGATGGGGCGAAAGAAGAGAGCAGAGATCGCCCGGCAGCAGGCTATCGCCAACGGTGAGGATGCTGAGGTCGGTAGTGTCACCGACGCTCTGAGCTCTGCCGCCATCGGCGAGACTGAGACGCCTGTCGAAGAGACACCAGAGCCGGACGTAGAAGCCGAGCATCTCATCGGATTCGCACGTATCTTCTCCGGTACTCTGAGTGTCGGCGATGAAGTCTACGTCCTCGGCCCGAAGTTTACCCCAGCCAACCCACACGCCGCTCCGGAGCCGCAGAAGGTCAAGATCACTGCGCTATATCTGATGATGGGGCGAGGCTTAGAGCCTCTCACAACTGTCCCCGCTGGTGTCGTTTTCGGTATCGGTGGGCTCGAGGGTCACATCTTGAAGTCGGGGACGCTATGTTCTCAGCTTCCTGGATCGCTCAATCTTGCTGGGGTTCAGATGGGTTCAGAGCCTATTGTGCGTGTTGCGCTCGAACCCGAGAACCCCTACGATCTAGACAAAATGATCAAGGGTCTAAAGCTCCTCGTTCAGAGTGACCCATGCGCAGAGTATGAGCAGCTGCCAAGTGGAGAGCATGTCATCTTGACAGCCGGTGAGTTGCATCTTGAGCGATGCCTGAAGGACCTCAAAGAGCGATTCGCCAAGTGCGAGATCCAGGCTGGTGAGCCCATCGTACCATACCGAGAGTCCATCGTGGCTGCAACAGAGATGAACCCGCCAAAGGACCCCAACCTACCACGAGGAACTGTTGTTGGCGAGACAGCTAGCAAGCACGTTTCTGTACGCCTTCGAGTCCGGCCACTACCAGCCAGCGTCACCGAATTCCTGGGGAAGAATGCAGGTGCTATTAAGAAGCTGTATTCTGATCGACGAGCCGAAGACGAAGGAGAACATGCTCCACATCATGTACATGGCGTCGAGGACGATGGTATACAAGAAGCAGAACAGCGCGAAATCGGACAGAGTCTGAGTTTCGAGGAGTTCAAGAAGCAGCTCAAGGAAGCGTTCGCAGAGGCAAAGGGACAGAAGGAAATCTGGACCGAAGTCATTGAGAAGATCACAGCATTTGGGCCTCGTAGGATAGGACCGAACATCCTCGTCGACGCGACCAAGGATGGGATTTGTGGCAGAGCGTGCGTACACCTGTCTATGTCTTCACTTCATTGCTAACTCTTTGCAGGCTCCGCGAATCAACATCCCCAGACGCCGACGCAGACAATCCCGCTGATCGCACCATTTCCGCACGCACCTTCTCTTCTACAATCTCATATGCATTCCAGCTTGCCACCGCGCAAGGCCCCTGTTGCGCCGAGCCTGTCCAAGGCATCGCCGTCTTCCTTGAGGACGTCATACTCAACATCCCCGATGACGAGAGTGCACAGGACCGCGGTCGCTTGACAGGTGAAGTCATCAAAGCCGTACGCTCATCGATTCACCAAGGCTTCCTGGACTGGTCACCTCGCATGCTTCTCGCAATGTACAGCTGCGAGATTCAAGCCTCCACCGACGTCCTCGGTCGCGTCTACGCAGTCTTGACGCGCCGCCGCGGAACCATTCTGTCCGAAACACTCTCATCTACTTCCTCCGCATCTACCACTGGATCGCAGACTTTCACTATCAATGCGCTTCTCCCCGTCGCGGAATCTTTCGGCTTCAGCGATGAGATCAGGAAACGCAGTTCTGGATCTGCTAGCCCGCAATTGCGCTTCGCTGGATTTGAGATGCTGGACGAAGACCCTTTCTGGGTGCCGTTCACCGAAGATCAGCTCGAGGATCTGGGTGAGTTGGCGGACCGAGAGAATGTCGCCAAGCGATACGTAGATAAGGTCAGAAGGAGGAAGGGATTGAGGGTTGCGGGCGAGAAGGTAGTTGTCGATGCGGAGAAGCAGAAGACGTTGAAGAGATAGTCTGGTCTTGTAGGTATAGAAGGAACATTGAGGATATGAGACCAAACCAGAGTGTGGTTCGAAAAAGGACAATGGTGACGATGATGGCAAACGACATGATAAACCATTCCAGAATCTGTCGTAGTCGATGAGGCGCACGTGATGTGTTGCCAGCGTACAGATACCACCTGGCAGGTATAAAAGCCCCAGAGACCCTTCATACCTTCCTCACTTGTATCCCACTCATTCTTTACCATCGAAAAAGACGTACGCAGTAGGCATGGTGCCGCCTTTTCCTGGTTTCTTTCTTACAAATCATTACCATTTTGATGTCATGTATCGGCCTGCGTCTTGTTCTTCCAGCATCTAAAAGCGGGAGAATACCAGTCGATGTTTGGCTTTTCTGCTTTTCCGGCTCACGAGCAGTTCCAAAGAATCGAGCGGATGGAATCTTCACCCTTGCCACGCGTTCAATTTTTGCAACGATCGATGCGATGATATCTTCGACTGTTATCAGCCGAAGACATGGACTTTTGGTCAAATCGTTGTGCTTCTGTGATCGGCGAAAAATAATCTTGAAACGCCTTCGCACCATTCTCCGATACATCAAAACCGACGACTGGATTATCACATGGATCTTGGGGTATGTCCTCTCGTCTACAGAGTTGCTACCTCGAAAACGTGCGGCAAACAACTTGATGCTGCGCTGCGCTGCTTTCAAAAGCACGCCCCACGAAATCGCTATGGCATCTCCCTGGCTAGGAGGTATACAAACAACCCATTTGACTTTGAGACTACTGCGATATCTTCCACTCATTTAGCAAAAGCACGAGGGCACTGTCATGACTTTGTAATGATCTTCGCTCTTTTCTCAAAACGTGATGTTAGCTGTTCATGACTTTCCCTGAGTTGCCTGGAACAAAAGAGGTTCACAGCAAAGTTATGTTGCATTGCGCTGCTCGCTCGTTTGTACATGGCACAACCAAAAACGAGCGTTACCACTGTTGATGTGTATCGATCGCTTTACCCTGTGATATATGCGAAGGAAGGCAAATGGCGATGATATTTCGAACAGAAAGGACCGTGCGTCAGACGGAGGGTATAAGATGTAGCCCGTCTTCCATCCCTCATCTTCTCCTCCTCATCTTCATCATTCCCTGCATTGTCAGACCAAAGTTCGCGCTCCAAAGTTTGATGTCCTGCGTCCTGTTTCTTTCCAAATTACTACGGCCGAACCTTATGTTTTGTGTAGTTCAGACACATGATGTTCGTTGTGCCTTCGATTTCTCGAAAGCTGGACTACAAAAGCACAGATGCCACTGTTATGTGTTGCGCAAAAGCGAGCCCGTATAAAGTGTTGCAAACAAGACACCGCTGTAAAGTGTTTCCTCGCTCGTACAGTTCTACAAAATGCTACCCAGCACATTTCATGAAAGCATCCTTTGCCTTGCTCTATGGTCTGGAATTGACGATCGATCTATAAAAGTCTCCTCCTCAACGACTGCTTGCTTCCCCAACATCGCTCTCTGCATACGCACCATTTCAAAACACAATCTACGTCGGCCTATGTCCTTTGGCCTTTTCCTCTTTTTCCGGAGACATAATCCTCGCAAGTGAAAGCTACGTGCGATTTTTGTCGCTTCTCAAAACAAGCATCCAAGGTCTCTATGGTTGTCTTTCTGGCCGTGTTGATACCCGTATCCTGAATGCTCCACTACCAAATCACGCGGCAAGTCATCACATGGCTCTTGTCCAGTCCAGGGTCGTTAGCCAGCAAATCCAGTGTGCTCTGAGTATATAAAGTCCACCGCGAGCTCTCTCTTCACCTCTCCATCTACACACCTCTATCGCTCTCCATCAAATTACAAGGAAAGGTAGTATATGTTCTGTTCCTTCTTCTCCAAAATTATCCCAGACTTCTTCTATGCGTCCGTGGCCTTTCTTCTCCAAAATACGGACTGATCGTCCAATGATCGAGAATTCGGCGCTCCAACACTACCGAGGTACGAATGACATGGCCAGACCTAAACACGCAGACAAATTTTACATGATCTTCCGTTCTAGAGACGGCAGTTATAATTACCCACCCATGTCACCCATTCTACCCGTCATCTTCAGATGATTCGCCGAAACTATATACCAAAAATATTTCTTCCAAAGTAATGTGCTCTTGCTCACGGCAAAAAACATATCTCCAGTAGTCAATGTTATCTGCCCAAGCCTCTTCTCACGGACGTTATGACCTTCTGTGCGGATTCGGCGTTCGTAAAAGTGCCCTGTCTATGCCTGTAACTTCCAAAAATGATGATACCAACGCCTATGCGTGTCAAAAATATGGCGAGGCTTTCCATGGCGTGAAGCAAACCGACCCTTTGCCAGGAAACTGAAGAGCCTGAGGGAAGACTCTCGACTTGACGTTCTGTAGAGTCGCTTTCGTGGGGTCACGAACGAATGTGTTGTTTAGTACGCACCTCACATCACCCAGGTCTCTCCAGGGGACAAGAATCTCATGTGCCAGATGAAAGCAGACACCGTGCTTTTCTTTTTGCAAGTTCTAGGTGTCTCAAGATAACTAGCATCTGGACAAATTGAACACGGAAAGCGGCTCGAAACCGCGGCCCATAGAATGGTATCGCGTGTGAATGCTTTCCCTTCCCATAACCATATCATCAACTAGAGATGTAGACAACCACCCCCATCTCCGTGAAGTTTTCGTAACATCGTGGCATCCCAGCCTACCATGAAACCTTGACATATCCTCTCATACCAAAACTCATCATCCTTCCCGTCCGCATGACCCAGAACACATAGCCTAAGCACTACCCGGCGGGCCGCCCATGTTCAAAAGGATATCTAACATGTCCATACCACCGATATCCGGTCCCATGGCCGTCTGGTTGATCTCCGCACCCCACTGATCCAGCAAAGGATCAAGTGGCAGTGCAAGCCAATCCTGATCTTGCCCAGCGCCCCAGCTCGCACCACTATTCGCCCACTGACTCCAGTTGGTACTGTTATTGCCGTTGGAGTTGTTGTTATTTGTATTGTTGTTCTGGTAGTTCTGATAGTTGCCAGGCGGCGGCATGATGCTGATGGAGTTGCTGTTGGGGTCGTAGGGTTCGGCCGAAATACCCCAGAGAGGTGTCGCGCGACCACTTGCACCGAGGCCCATGCTAGGGGAGCCGGGCACGCTGGTACCAGTACCAGAAAATCCTGTTTGCTGTGATCCCATGTATGCCGGTGCAAGGTGGTTGGTGTTGTTGAGTGGAGCGGGCGGAGGCATCAATGGTGCCTGGTTCGGGCTCTTGCTCCCAGCGCGGGATATGCCACTCGAGCCGTTGGCAGCAAGGCGCACGAAGCGCGAACGGATGCGGTGGGTCAGGGTTTCGACGAGGTCAGCGAAGCGGTTACCGACGTGCACATCGTCGACTATGCTCGTTCGTAGGGCATCAACTGAGTCGCTGAGCAGGCTAAGGCTGACGGCCACGTCTTCTTCGGTTGCGCCCAACGCAAATGTCTTGAGCAGTATTATGGCCACACTGACGATGCGGAAGAACGTGCGCACTGGCGCATGCCGTAGATAGCCACCAGGATGTAGACCCTCCACCACGACTTTCAGTACGTTGCGTGACGCATCGATGACTTCGTTGATGTAGTGGCGATCGTTCGCGTACCACTTGACGAGTGTACTAAAGGGAATAGCGCCGCCGTCATCGTTACCGGTGCCGTTGCCGTTGCCGTTGCTGTTTGGAGTGCGTCCGTTCATGCCGTTGGGCTGAGCATGTGTCTGTAGCGGAGTGTTGTGTGTGCAGCGTTCTACCACCGCCTGGAGAGCGAGCGAGTTGAGATATACGCGCGTATACTCAAACTCGATGATGAGGACATGGCGGAGTTGCGCCGGAACTAGAGGTCGTTAGACAAAGTGTGTGAGCAGTGCAATAGTAGTCCTACCTTGAGGGGCTCGGTCGAAGCATTTCCTCCACTCCACCAATGGCCCTTGAAAGAACTTTAGCATCTCCTCGTAGCCTCCCGACTTGAGCAGCTCTCTGGTCTTCCGTCGATTGGAGAACAATTTCAGGTTACCCATCTCCATGACCTTGGCAATGCGGGCCCAGAAGTCGAGCACAAGATCTTGGACAGCATGGCGCTCCTGTGTAGCGATGGATTCAAGCGGAAGGCGCTGGCCATCTGAGCGCATTCCAAATTGGGCTGGAGGAGCCTTGATGCGACTGATGCGCTCCTTGTATAGCTCAAGTGGTGAGGGGCCGCCGACCAGGTTCTCATCCCGCTCAAGCTTCGGAAGCATGGAGGTGAGACCCAGTCTGCCACTAGTCTGGGTGACGTATATGATAAGCAAGTCGCGGAGATGGTTCTTCCTCCGGTAGTAGGCCTTCACTGTCGCATGCGAGAGGTGCTGATTTGCCTCTTCGAACTCGGTTTCGTTCGTCTCGTCGAAGACACCAATCTCGAACGCGAGCGTCATGGCGTTGCCCAGCAGCATCCAGCACATGCGGTCACTGCGCCAGCACGGCTCCAGCCAACTGTCGATGCGCTTATCACCCACGCCTTTGTACATATCAGCCTTCGGTCCTGCCTCGTAGGGGTCATCGGGGAGAACGAGCTCGTCGTCGTCATCGCCAGGAGGGAAGTGCAGCGCGCGAGGATGCCATTCGGTAAGTAGCATCAGACTCTCGACAGTGCCAAGTGTACGAAGGCCCTTCCGCGACAGAGGGTTCACGTCGGATCCAGGCTGCTGGCCTGCGCCACAGAAGCCGCCGCCGAACTGCTCTTGTCCGAAGATCATGCGATCTATCATACCCTGCAGGTACTTCCATAGCTTCTCGTGGATGAGGTATGACCGAGACGTTGCGCCAACACCGCTCGAGCCGCTCGGTTGTGAATACCTCGCCGAGATGGTCAACAGCGTGATGACCAGCATGGGCTCCTCCTTAAGCAGCTTCGCGTGAAAGGCATGATCGCGGTAGTCGGGCACGACGATTGGTGTGAGCGGCGATAGGAAGGCGTAGAAGTAGTCGATGTATGCGATTGCCTCCTTTGCCGTGAGCCACCCTGCGCGCACAAAGCGGAACTTTGACCAGGCTCTCACAGCGTCGGCGAAGGCAGCTTCGTTCGGCGGGTCGGGCAGCATGGGCTGCTGTATAGCCGGATCGACCGAGGGCTCGACGGTGGCGCGCGAGTTGGCGCGCGCATGGGATGTGTTGGGCCGGGGGCTTGCGAAGTTGGTCTGCGAGCCGGGTGTGCTGCCGAGCGTCGGTCGCTGCATGCTCGAGCTGCTTCCGGTGCGGTGGTGATTGTTCATGCCCGCCGCCTCGAACAGCAGGTTCAGCGCATCGTGGCCGCTGTAGACCTCGCCCGCCTGCAGCGTCGCGACCGTCTCGTTGTTCACCTTCTGGTCCTCTTCCTCGTTGGGCGTGGGCTGGTGGCCGCCCGACGTGTTCGGCCGTCGCAGCGGTTCGTACCGTCCGATGGAGCCGCCTGGGGTCAGGGGCTGCGATATGTACGCCGGGTTGGTCGTCGTGGTGATCAGAGGCTCCGGCAGGCCATCTGAGCGCTGGCGCTTCCGGCCATTGCGCAGCTCGTAGTCGTCGACCTCGTCATAGTCGTCCTCGCCGTCGGCCTTGCGCTTCCGGCGTGTCGCAGAGAAGAAGCACTCCTTACTCTCCCTCCTGCATCGCACGCAGGGCGGGTCGTGTGGGTTATCTACCGGGCCAAGATCTGGAGATGTCAGCAATTGCGCGATAAGCACGCTGCAGCGTTAACGTACCGCATCGCACCTTCCTGCGTCTGCACGGGATGCAGGCCTGGTAGGTGCGCGTGTGCTGGGCATTCTGCGTGCGCGGCGGTGGAGAAGCGTTGGAGCCCGCCGTCGACATGGTGGTGGTGGATTACGGTCGGCTTGCACCGGCTGAGAGCTGGCGGACTTTGGCTCTGATAAGGGCTGGAATACCGCCGAGGCTCCTCAATCCAGCGAGACGGTACCTGCATGCAATATGCAGCGAGTGTGCGCAACGGTAACGCCTACAGGAAGGTCTTCGTGTATGACTCCGCGCAATTCTGCTATTTGTTATCGTCGACTTGAGCTTACGGTACTGAGGCGTCGAAGGGCTCGGGAGCGGGTCACGAGCGCGGGGGCTTTGGCTATTACGGAATGGCGTGTCCGCTCCTCCAATCTTGAACACAACACCACGTAACAGTCCATAACTCCCTCGGGTACCTCACGATCCACTGTCGGGTCACGCGTTGAGTGTGGCCGTGCAATCCGCTGCTTACGTCAGGCCGACCGATGCGTCCTGGCTGTACCTGCTGCTCGCGGCATGTGATATGCTCGTGCACTCTGCGCGTGGCACAGCACCCAATCCGGCCAATGGGCAGTGAGCGGAGACCACGAACGTCATATCCGTCGTCTTTGTCCGTGTCTCGATATGGCACGGCTGGTGGCTGGGATGTATATTGTCGCTACTCACGCGTCACGAACAGCCCGAGGTCGCGTCTCGATGACATGCCATAGCTTCTACTAGCGCACAATTGCATAAGCATGTACCCGGGTAGGAAGGATAGCCACAGGCCTTGGACAGAAGATAGGATTATCTTTCAGCTGGAGATATGGATACATGCAACACCAGCACGCTGAGCACCTGTTAAGCCGGAAGACGAGTACCTTTAACATATCCTCCAACACCCTATGGCCACGCAATGTATCCAGACAGCCATCTCGATCAATATCGACATGACAATGTTGCATCTTTCCAAGGTGCCATCGCTGGCTTCACCCCGGGTTCTCTAGCACCAGAACCCACAGGTCATGTCCGAAAGCTACAACGCCGTTAGTCATCGTACCATCAACATCAAGGACTCCCAGGATGACTTACCCTCGGGTGATCGTTCTGGTGACTCTCATCACAGCCAGTCTCAGCGCGCGTCCATGGGTTCCAAGAGCACATGCCCATCGCATCCGGGGTGTTGGTGGTCAGAGTGCTCCAGTAGCCACCCTTCGGCTCAAACGCAAAGTACATCTGTCTATCCTCCGGACTGTAAACAACAATCAGGCCGCCCATGCCCAAAAGCCTCACAGCACTCTTGTCGATACGACCTGTTCCCTCGGGGTACGTGACGACGGATTTGCGGTTGTTGTCTTCGACGGTGTAAAGCATTCCAAGCATCTGGTTGTGCCAGCCTTCGGCGGGCGTGTGAAGACACTGCTGGAAGAGTTGCAGCTTGAAGGAGCAGAATCCTGGCGCGTAGTTCGCAGAGGTCGAGTTGATAGCGGCTGGACTGGGCGGCATCGAAAGCATATCGGGGAGGGCCTCGGAGCGCGCGCGCTTCACGGTGAAGTCTGACTCGGGCTTTGTGCAGTCGAACTCGCAGGTCAAGGCTTGAGACTTCAATAGTTATTAGTGGGAGTAAGCAGAAGAGTATCTTGAGAACTAACTCGATGGTTGCGGTCACTATTGTTGCAATCCAGCGGCAGGTTGTCCCACGGCTTAGTGGTGCAGTTGAACTCGCTGTCTCCATTCTGGTTAGGCCATTCAGCGTCGCCGTAGATGACTATCTCGCGTCAGTTATTTTGCAATTCCAGTGGCCCGCGATAATACACACATCCGATACTGTCCCTCTCATATCCAATCTTTAGTTTCTTCCCAGCAACCACGCCCGTGAGCGTTTCTCCATCTGTCAAGTCGATAAAGTCGGTTTGCTCCATGAACTGATTGCCAGCGCCATCATAAACAGGTGAGAGATCGACGTAAGTATTGGCGTGGTCGTCCCAGCAATCCTGAGTGACGACTGCGTCGAAGGAACAGCGACCCGGTGTGAAGTCGGGACCGACACCTTGAGCGACTACAGAGGTAGTCAGCAAGAGGAGCGCGGAGGCGACAAGGGTAAATATGATGAACATATTGGTAGCAATGGTGCTTCCAAGCCGGCGGGATGAATGAGGAAGGTATCAAGGGTAGGAATAGGCTGAGTTGGAAGGTAAGTGTTGTAACAGGTGATATGACGTGATCGCAGGTCGCAAACGCTCAGATGTTGGGCATTTCAAGTAATGAATGTGTTGTGGTAATTCTGAGAGAGAAGGGGTGGTTCGAGCTTAAGAGTGCTCAGGTCCACTGCGCTTTCCTGGGACAGGGTAATGACTGGGCTTTGAGGATCCACGTTCGAACCAAAATTCGTCTCGTTACCCGTCCGAGCCGCGATTCTTTGTTTCTGGTGCGAGTCCTCCTGACAGATCCGGCGATCTCGCGTTTGTCATTACGCCAACAAGCCACCTGTCGATGGAATGCTGCCCAAGATGTGAGAGACACCTGTAACTTGTGGTACATATTCCAATACTTGGCGCTACGTATGTGTAAGAAGTCCAAAAATTAAGGCGACGCTCACCATTGTCTGATGCGTAGACAGAAGCTTGTGGTATGAGGTCGCGCCGGATCAGGCAGCCAAGGCTGATGCAGGTGTTGCGCCACCTATCTAGGTACCTACCGTACGTTCTAGTGTTTGGAAGTTGCAAAGCTTCTTCCATTCAGAGTTTAGGCAAGATTAGTTTCTACCTTGGAACATGATGCATGACTTTGCATGTACGGCCCGTCGCACTGAAGAGGTTGAGAAGAACGTGCTGGCGAAGCACAGTCGCAGCTGCCGGTGATTTGTCGTTTTACGGACAAAGCATGAGAGCAAGCTCGCCATGTTTTCAGACCCTCGATTGACTAACAATTAGTTATACTTGACATATAAGTGGCGGAATTCAATGAGCGATTTCGAAGTACCTAGACCGACACTGGCGATCAATCCGACATGTCGTTCGATGCATCCTCATCCCGCGCAGATGAACCGACGAGAGCGCCGCTTTACGAGATACGACCAGTCCCAGGAAAAGGAAGAGGCATTGTAGCTTGCTCTAACATACCGAAGGGAACACGAATTCTGTGTGAGAAACCACTTCTCACATTGGCTACCGAGATTGACAGCCTCGATGATAACATCGTGAGGAAAGTTAGAGCTCTTTCTGAGGATCAAAAACGCCAGTATCTTAGTCTCTGCAAAAGCAAAACCACCGGCAATGTCTTCACTGGTATCTTCCAAACGAATGCTTTACCATGCGAGTCGACACCGCCGATCGTCGGCATTTTCCCGACAATCTGCCTCATCAACCACTCTTGTGTACCCAATTCACAGCACAGTTGGAACAGCATGAAGAATAGCCAGATGATATATGCAGTTAGGGACATTGAACAGGGGGAGGAGATTACAATTTGCTATGGCGAGCAAGGGGCTTTCGATGCGCGACGTGATTATCTAACCGAATCGTTCGGTTTCGAGTGCGACTGCAGTGTCTGCTCACTTCCAGTACCGGAGAGGCAAGAGAGTGATGCTCGCCGTATTCGCATCGAGCAACTTGACAAGGTCATGGGTAATATGGAGCGCGCCGTATCCAAACCAGGTATTACAATCTCCGCCGACCCCATTCTGAGGCACATTTCGCTAAGTCGTGATAGTAAGCACAACCTTTCAGATCGAAACCAAACTCGAGAATGAGTTCTCGCACACCTTCTATGATATGCGCTAACTTTTGCTGGTGTGCTTTAGGGTGAAGTTTTAGCGCACTGCCGATACATGGTACGTCTCCTGAATGAAGAGTTCAGAGGTTGCGCCACTACCATGGAGTCGAAACTATATTTCGACGCCTTCCAGGTCGCCATTATGCATGGTGATCAAGCTCGTGCCAGCGTCTTCGCGGGAAGAGGTTACGACGTCCGGCTCATTTGCGACGGAGAGGATAGTTTGACAACACAGACGATGAAGAATTTCCAACTCGACCCACATACACATCACCTCTTTGGATATTTTTCTCTGATATGGAAAACGAGCCAAGATGATATTCCCGAAGGTCTGAGTGAGACGGAGTTTGAAGACTGGCTCTGGCGATCGCAATCAGGTTGATCTGCGAACTCGAAGGTGTGAGAAATACCCACGCACGTGATACAATGTTGATTTCATGGTGTGGGAGTAAACAGTGGGTTTGAGAGGTGATAGAGCGGCTTGACAACGTGATGAGATCCTGGTTTGCGCTTAGTTGATGTAGAAAAGCTCACTCACTCACAACCTATTTCTTCTAGACCCCTACCATTCTCTTGCCTTCGTTCATCACACAGCGAGCGCAGTAAAGTCTTTGCCAAAGCAACACAGGAGGGTGATAATCACGAAACTTTGCTTTCGCCTCAGCGGTCGCAAAAGATATACTTGACTGCTGCAATTAGTTTCACTACTGCCGCATCCCATACCATGAGTTCCTCACTCTACGATGTTCGAAAGATCGCCGGAAAAGGTAGAGGCCTGGTCGCTCGCTCCGACATTCCTGAAGGCACCCGTATCCTGTCGGAGAAACCGCTGCTCATGATACCTAACAACATGTCCAACGAGCAACTGGAGGCTCGACTCGCACGAGACCTTAAGGCCCTGGACAAGACTCAGCAGCGACAATTCTTTTCACTTCACAACAGCTACACTGGCAAGTACGTCCTCGGCGGCATCTTCAAAACAAACTCAATGGCTTGCGGCAGCGACTTGTCTGCCATTGCAATCTTTCCCACCGTCAGCTTCATCAATCACAGTTGCCTTCCAAATAGTCATTACAACTGGAATGACTCCATGGGGATGCAGACAATCCATGTCACTCGCGATCTCAGCGCTGGAGAAGAGATAAGTATCTGCTACACCGACTCTGGAAGTGCCAGTGTTCGCCAAGCTTACCTGAAGAAGCATTTCGGCTTCGACTGTTCGTGTGCAATCTGCTCGCTTCCAACTACTCACCGAAATGCCAGCGACGCGCGACGTGAGGAAATCTCTCGTCTTCAGGACACATTTGCTGAAGCAGATTGCGCAACGTCCAAGCCTGAAGAGGCATTCTTCGACCTTCGGAAGATAGTCGAACTCTTGAACAAGGTACGTGATCACGCTGAGTAAGACAGCAAACCCATACTGATGGTTTCCAGGAGTTTAAAGGTGCTGCCAAAGTCCCGGAGGCGGATATCTACTGTTATGCGGTACAGCTTAGTCTCTTCCACAGTGATGAAGCGCGAGCAAGTGTATTCGCTGAGAGGGCGTACAAGGCGTTGCTCATCTGTGTGGGCGAAGACGGTGAGAATGCACAAGAGATGAAGGCCCTGATAGACAACCCAGCCTCTCACGCAGACTTTGGATCGTTGTCGAGCAGATGGAGGTCTAACAAGTACGATGCTCCAAGAGGTAGAGACTTTGGCAAGAGTCACTTCGAGGATTGGCTTTGGCATCTGGTCAAGAGGTTGGAGACAGCGGACCTTAGCGATGATTAGTTCATGAACTGTCGGCGGTGGAGGACCTCGTAGCCAGTTCGGAGCTGCATCTTTGGGGCGAGTAAATCCGGATGCCTATGCGAATCAGAAATACATTGTAATGGAGGATGCATCATATTTCCACAACACTGTGATCTTTCTCTGTGCTAGAGGGGATGTTGTACATGCGGCGACGTTGTTGAAAGCTTCGTAAGTAGTGCGCACTGCGCATTCCGACAGTATTTCAGACGAAGACGATGAGAGGTGTTGTGCTTGCTGCTTCCAACGAAGTCAATGATCTGTTGTTCAGGAGTCGAGGACGCGAGAGGTGCGCGGCCTTTCGGGCCGATTTCGGCATAGATCAGCGCGCGAGCTGCACTCCAAGGTGGGCGGCGATGCTTCTGCATCCGCATCCCGCCCCCACCTCTGCACACTAGAGAAGCTCCATGCATGGAGCACCGAAGACCACGCGATGCTCTCTCATGCGATCGTTGTCGCGCGAAGAAGCTAAAGTGCTCGAAAGATGCGCCAATATGCACTTCCTGCGCCCATAGCGGCTCGCACTGCCATTACAGTGGCAAAGTCGCTAGATCACCCTTGACACGGGCATACCTCACGGGTGTAGAGAAGCGACTGCACAGTCTGGAGTCTCTGGTCACGCAGTTGCTACCTGGAGTTGATATTGAAGACTTGTTATCAGCTCCAAATGTGGCTGGCTCTGCACGATCCGTCATCATCCAGTCTCAGACGCCAGAAGTAGCACCAAGCCCCCAGGGCAGCACCCACTCAAGCACACATGAGCCTGCGTTACCTGAAGCTGTACCCAACAATGTCGATGGCTTCAATTGGCAAGAAGAAGACGTCAATGTCGATGGGCTGACTGATGGCATGGCCGCCCTGTCAGTCGAGCCTACTGGTGTAGGTTATTTGGGTCAGTTGCTTCACTCGAAGAGCAAAACGCGTGACTGAAACTATCTAGGCTCGACTTCTGGAGTCGTTTTCCTTCGATGTTTGCTGGACTGGGCCGGCTTTCTGCACCAGTCTGTTCCAAGGCCTCAACAGAGTATGGCGACTCCATCCGCTTCCTTTCGAAACGTATTGGCAACATCGCACATCTCGCATGCAGCTCTCACAACACAACTGTCGTCGAGCTTGATTGATGCCTACTTTGCCAACTACCACGTAGTCTATCCATTCGTTCACGAAGCAACATTCCGAGCGCAGTACCATGAAGTCGTCCCGCGGCCCTCAAAGAAGTCGTGGAACATGCTTTCCCATGCGATCATAGCACTCGGCGCGTGGTCGTTGAACAACGATCAAATTGGACTGGAAGACTACTTATATCGCCGGGCCTTGACCCTGGGTCAGGAAGAGTCGGTGTTTGAAGCTGCCAGCCTGACTTCTGTACAAGCACTCATACTTCTGAGCAACCTAAGTCAGAAGCGCAATAGCCCAAATACGGGATGGAATCTGTTAGGCCTCGGCGTTCGCACAGCGCTCAGTCTAGCCCTCCACCGAGAACTTCCTCACTGGAACATCACCCTGATCGAGCGCGAGACGAGACGTAGAGTATGGTGGGGTCTCTACATCTTCGACAGTGGAGCTTCGACGACATTCGGTCGCGCTATCATGTTGCCTGACCAAGAGACTATGGATGTTCATGCTGTGCTGAACATCCACGACGAGGTATGGCCGTCCAACGAAGTTTGTATAACCGTCGCGAAACTGACCCATGCTAGTCACTTACACCACAAACTACAACGCTGCCTACTGAGGTTGACGAACCGACTATATACTCCTCTCTCAGAGTGCAGAGTAGTTTTCACCTACAGACGAACCACATCTCAAACAAACTACTAGCCGAACCCGGGCTCTCTGCGGAGGCCGCGCTCGCTTTGAACGCTTCCATGGATGCGTGGACACACACAGTTCCGACATATTTCCAGCTTTCGCATGCACCCAGATCGACGGCTCCATGGTACTCATTCGCCCGCTCTCGACTGTGGTGGAGGTTCTGGAATCTCAAAATCATCATATTCCGACAGATCTTATTGCGCCGAGCCATTTCCGAGCGAGGCCAGATCCCAGACCTAGCCATGCAGTCAAGCCAAGAGGACTGTAAGCGAATTTGTCTTGAAGCCGCGCATTCTACAGTGGTTTCGATACATCAATATGCAACACAGGACTTGAACAGACTGGAGGGGTGGTACGCCACGTAAGTACTTGAAGTGGAACCCAAATGAACACATGTGCTAATGGAATTACAGGTACTTCCTTTTCCACGCGGCACTAGTAATAACCCTTTGCATCATCAGCTTCCCACGCGCTGAGGAGACTGCAATCTGGTACGACGATGTTCGCTTGGCCCGAACCACCTTCCGCGAACGGCTAGTTGGGGATTCGCTGTCAGCTCGCTGCGTGGCCATCCTTGACCAAGTGGTGTCTGACGGCGAGTTGGACTCCGGTACACTGCAGGATCTGGAGCTGGATAAAGACGCCTTGAGTACGTTTCCATGGTCTGTTGAGTCCAATGAGTTATTCAACTCCTTCGATTGGGATTTTACTACGTCCGGTTTCTAACCTCGGGCGCAATCTTAATGGCACGATGCCTCAATTCTCGATGATGACATCCGGCTTTACCATCATGGATCGTATCAGTTCGCCGTTTGGAATGTCATTCTCCTCTGCTCGTGCGATTGCAGCTGACATCGAAGTCTCGATGCCAGCAGCAAGGTGACGTTGTGCTAACCTATCACGAACTGTGTCTACAGGCGCGTCGACAAACCATCTACAGAGTGTCAGTACCAGCCCGCCAGGCGATGAATGACCATGACCAACCTTTCATCACACATCTCTGCAATCTGATCCCATGGGTCTTGTTTCAAGAGTGTGTAGTTGCCCTCAACAATAACAAGTCGAGTACGAGAAGAGATCTTGATAGCATCTTGCACGGGGTCCTTGACAGCATGGTCGAAGCCGGGTGCAGGAATACAGATGTCGGCTTCGCCATCCTTGGTGACGGGAGCTTCTTTGAGTGTCTTGACAAGCGTCACACACGCCTTCGCATCAAATGTGAACGGCGCCCCACGCCTTTTGAACGCTACTTCGGCATCATCGAAAGTCGACAAAATTTCCCGAGTGTAGTGGAAGCCGTCCTAGTGCTCGTCAGAGATGTGGCATCGCGGGTCTCGGTTGGCTCCTACCATCGGTACAACAGCAACATCTCTGATACCTCGTGCAGCAAGCTCAGAGACGAGCGCATCAGACACCGTTGACTTTCCCGCGCCTGGCACGCCTGCAAGAGCAACAAGCATGCGATGATCGGGATCGGTCGCTTGGCGAGACAGAAGGTTTTCCGTGCGCTTGACCACATCGAGTATGGCTGCACGCAAGGCGTCCACCTTTGATTCGGCTGGCATCATCGGCGACTCTGGAATAGCAGTCACAAAATTCTTAATGAGATGCGAAAATGTATGAGATGCTCGGGTGAAAGGACTGGCACAAGGTGAGCAGTGTTACAGTACTACATGCGACGAGCTATGATCTAAAGATCACGTTGGCGTTGTGGACTTCGTCGGACGACAGCTGTCCGAGCATAAGTCATGTTGGAACCCCAGTTCCCACAACTGAATCAGGCAACTTTACCATGCGGGGATCCCGCATGGCACTTACGACTACCGGCGTAGACGCATGGAGAATCGTGGAGTCGGACGACAGTGGTCCGAAGGTGTCGGACCCCAGCTACGATCGTGAAGTTCTCACGCGATCGGCAAAGGTATATAAGCACGCGACACTATCACCAGTAGGCTGCCTACTCATAGCTGATTCCAACCATCGGAGCCGATATTGGCATATCCACAAAGAAGACGACCAGCATGTCTTCAATTCAGGATGCTACCGCTGTTGGAGCTGCGCCAAAGATTGGTGTCTACAAGGAGCTGAGACAAAACCCATATCTCCTTGGGCTATCCGCCGTAAGTTGGTATCGAGCCTAACTTATCTCAGTTTCAGCTAACATGCGTAGTTCGCCTCGCTGGGCGGTTTTCTCTTCGGTTATGATCAAGGTGTCGTCTCTGGGGTGCTGACGATGGAGTCCTTCGCGGCATCCTTCCCGAGAATCTCTACAGACAGCTCCTTCAAGGGCTGGTTTGTCTCGACATTGCTACTCGCTGCTTGGTTCGGTTCTCTCGTCAACGGCCCAGTAGCCGATCGCTTTGGTCGCAAAGGATCTATTATCATAGCTGTCGTCATCTTCACCATTGGCTCTGCGCTTCAAGCTGGCGCGATCAACATTCCGATGGCTTTTGCAGGTACGGAACTTCCAGCGTGGTGTGATGGCAATCTAGACTGACAATGCACACAGGCCGCGCAATCGCTGGTTTCGCCGTTGGTATGTTAACAATGATTGTACCAATGTACATGAGTGAGGTCTCAACCGCCGGCATCAGAGGCACTCTAGTCGTTCTCCAACAGCTTTCCATCACACTCGGTATCCTCGTCTCCTACTGGCTCGAGTTTGGTACCCAGTACATTGGGGGCGTACGTTGCGCGCCCGACATCCCGTACACTGGTGGCACTGCAGCAGAGCCTACCTTCGACCCACGAAACGACGTAGGCCCGAACGGCTGCACCGGTCAGAGCGATGCTGCGTGGCGCGTTCCTTTCGCGCTCCAGATCTTCCCCGGTCTCGTTCTCGGTATTGGAATGCTGTTCTTCCCCGAATCACCTCGCTACTACTGTATGCGCGACAACGAAGAGGCTGGTGTGAGAGCGCTCGCCCGAGTACGTCGCACTTCTCCAGATGATGAGTCTCTGCAAAAGGAGTATCTCTCCATCAAAGCTGAAGTCATGTTTGAGGAGCAATACAACCGCGAGAAGTTCCCGGGCAAGTCTGGAGTTTCGCTGTATCTTTCCGGTTACTCAACGCTCTTTTCGACCTGGCCATCTTTCAAGCGTACCGCTATCGGTTGCTGTGTCATGTTCTTCCAACAGTTCATCGGATGCAATGCGATCATCTACTACGCGCCCACAATCTTTGGTCAGCTAGGCCTCAGTGGTAAGACGACTGGTCTGCTCGCAACAGGTGTTTATGGAATAGGTATGTGATCTGCTGTCAGACGCCACGAAATTTGATTACTAACTCGACCCTCTAGTCAACACATTGTCTACTCTTCCTGCGCTCTTCCTCATCGACAAGATCGGCCGCCGCCCTCTCCTCCTCTGCGGTGCCGCCGGTACTTGCATATCCCTTTTGATTGTCGGCGGTGTCATTGGCGGTTACGGATCGACGCTCAAGGATCACCCCGCAGCTGGATGGACGGGCATCGCCTTCATCTACATATACGACGTCAACTTCTCATACTCTTGGGCACCAATCGGCTGGGTACTTCCATCAGAGATCTACAACATTGGTAACCGCTCAAAAGCCATGTCTTTGACTACCTCATCGACATGGATGTGCAACTTCATCATCGGTCTCGTCACACCCGATATGCTGGAAACCATCGGATTCGGCACATACATCTTCTTTGCTGCTTTCGCTCTAATCGCCTTCGTGTTCACGTGGTTCTTGATTCCCGAGACCAGGGGCAAGAGCTTGGAAGAGATGGATGCTGTGTTTGGTGATAGCACTGCGCACGAGGAGAAGACGAGGTTGTACAACATTGCGCAGAGTTTGGGACTGGAAGAGGCCGAGGCTGCGGCATTCGATGAGAAGCCCATGAAGGCGCTGCAGACTGAGGTGACGAACGTATGAGAATAGTATACATAGAAGCTAAACAGCGTGAAGCGTACATTGACGCTGGGTCTTCTGTTTTGCTCAATGTTGTCCTAATGTAGGCTGCAGGCCTGTCTGGTTTCTTCTTTCTTGCTCTGCTCTCCAATCCCTCATCGCGTCACCTTCCAACTGCTCAAGCATTGAGTCGTCTTCATCTCCATCATCATAATCACTTTCCTCATCCTCGTCATCCGCAAAGTCATCCTCACCATTCTCTGAGTCATCCTCAGAGTCAGTCATCCACCCCGTCATCCGTACCTTCCTCCGTTCATTACAAATCTGAGCTCGGCATTCAGGACAGAGGTTGGAATTGGGTGAAGTGTCGTTCATCCATTCCTTGATGCAAGCGAAGTGAAAGTAATGGCCACAAGCGCTCATTTTGGCACCCAATAAACCGTGAGCTTCAAGACACACAACGCAGAGCTGATCTTGAGGGATGTCCAGATCCCATTTTCCATGCTTCAGTGGCTCTATGGGAGGTCCGTAGGCCTCTAGATAAGCCTTTCCGTAGAGGTTGCGTAGGGTCTTCGTGTCAAGATTGTATCCATCTTCGGAGTCATCTCCAGTGTTTTCTCCGTTGTCGGTTTGCCAGTTGTTTGCGTACCAAAACGCGCGTATTTCGTCGCTGTCGTAGGAATCGGTGCCAATGGTTCGCCGCTGAGCCAGAGTTCGTGGAATGCCTCCGAACTCGCCCTTTCTAATACCGTCTGCTGACAGTGAAGGAACCGCTTCAGGCATATCTATCCAAGTCCGAAATTGTAAACGTCCGTCTCTCCACATCCGTCTCAACAGAGCCTTCATATCCACAGTCTGCGATTTCGACTGTATCATAGCTCTGGCGAACTGATCCATCACTCCTTGGTACATATGGTCTGCAATCGGCTTATCCATGGTGAGGGCAAAAGCCTCGGCCCACAGATCATCCCAGATATCCCTAAACTTGATCTTCCTTAATGCGGCTCTTGTATGGTAAGGAAGCACCTCGGCTTGACTTCCGTGAAGTGATGGAGTCGCTTCGACTATGTTCTTGAAGCGGGCGCGTGCCTGTACAAAGCCGCCGAGATAGGTCGCGTACGATGGATAGAAACATGGGTTTCTTTCCCAGATTGCGACTACGTTGAGTGTGATGTCCATTACGATATCGAGCAGGCTTGCTATGGATGCTTCGTCGCAACGGGACCACATGGTGAAAAGACGGAGCGCGGGTTGGATGGCTGTCATGGTTTGGCAGTACTCCTCCTCTCCCCGGTAGTCATGACTACTGTCGTATTTTGGTTGAGGCGTAAGAAGTTGCTGGAGCGCCGTTCTCGCCCCGGCGTAATAAGCCACTCCATCTGGTAGACGGATGAGTGCGCACTCGACAAGCCACTTTACACCGCGAGTTACTGTCGTATATCCTTCACCTTTGTCCCAAAGTACTTCTCCCGACATCAAGTCCGTCTGATCGGTGTACTCATCCACAACGTGCGAATATTGTCCTCGGTAGAAGATACCAGGCAGGACTTGTCTTACGGATTGCCTAGTTTGAAACTGCGGTGCTTCCGGGTCCACGAGTTCCGGTATTGTGGCGCACACATCGTCGTATCGTTGAGGGGTTGGCGTGTACACAAGGCAGTACTCATCGGCTTCACGTTGACTGAGTATACCTGCGAAGAATCGTATGATGAGCTGGGATCCATAGGGTGCGTCTAGGAACTTCTCGATGGCGTTGGACAGTTCGGGAATATAGCGCGCTTCAGGCTCGCGATCATCGAGTTCGCAGTCTCTGTCGACTTCCTGCATCGGCGCGGTCTTGACGGGATCGGATATGGATTTTCGGCGTCTGAGTGCGGCTAGGAAGGAGGGCAGGAGCAAAGACTGTTTTTACCGCCGAAAGCTTGGACGTAGCAAACACTCATCCGACTAACAATGGCAGTGAAAGCGTTTCGATCCTCTTCTCATCACGTAACACCAAGGTAACAAAGCAATGTATGGCGAACCCCACAGGAGGAATATGTCTGTACACTAAATGCTAGCAATACAACGCCGCCACCGAAGAAAGTAAGAGCGCACTGATGCGACTAACAGGTACAAGGCTACTTGTGATACACGAGCAAGGAAAACCAAAAAAGCGAGCGCTATGTCAGAGCAATCAAGAGGGGTATTAGAGACAGTAGCGAAGATATAAACCAGCCACCACCAGGGCTCCTAAAAGGATACATATTTCGCGCCGCGAGCGAGCGGATGATGCAGGCCGGAAGAAAACAGAGATGTAAAATGGGGGATGACAAGCAAAGGTATAAAGAAGCGAACAAGAAAAGTAGAACCCCAGCCCAAGACCAAAGTTCTCCCAAGATTTCGTTCCACATAATGCGTCCCACAATCCCCAGAACGCCGGTTGAGGATAGAGGAAATAAGCCCCTAGGGTATACTGAAAAAGCAAATAATGTAACTCACAACGAACGAGCGTCTAAAATCTCGACCCCGCCCTCAAACTGCCGTTTGCGCTTGTGCTGCGTGCGGTGCTAGCACCACTTCCAGCTCGCTTCATGCGCTTCTCCATAAGCCCGTTGAGCAGACGATCTAGTTCACCACTCAGGCCTTGCATGGTCTTTGTCTCTTCGGAGAGATAGTCCTTCATCAGTGGATGATCGCGACCAACAGGCA